ATAACATATTTAATTCTGACTTGTTTTCGCTATGCGGACATCATACACTGTACAGTATAACGTACATACTGTATCTGATGTGAGACTAAAGATTAAAAACTTACATTTTCATAAAATTTGTTCAGCTTGACAGGATTCTTAATAAACGATGGAAAACCAATCCATTCCTTCATTTTCTTTAACTAGTTATATGTAAAAAGTAATCACTATTATAAAATAAAATATTAGGGACCGTTCATTATTTACACCCAGGGTTGGTACCGAAGAGATATGGGTTGGGTAATCAAGTTTTTGACTAGCTCATGGGTTTGGTAAAAAAATTATGGCTGTTTGTCAGCTATAAAATAAAACCAAAATTACCATGCATATTGGAAAATATGTAGGAAAATGTGTACAATACATTCTGTACCAAAACAGACGATCAGTGGACTCTATCATTGATCAGCAGGAACGTGATTGCTTTGGCGCACTCAGTGAGATTGAACTTTTAGAATTTAGGCAACTTGATTTCTGTCACCATAATCTTGTGTGTTTAATTATTATGAAGGACAGTAACACATAGGTTGGGTAAACATTATTTTGACCAATGTTGAGGTTGGGTAAATAAAAAAATTACACTGTGTTTCGCTTCTGTTCGGTACCAACCATGGTTATAAATAATGAACAGTACCTAAATAGACCATTTGCTCAAGGGCGCCTGGAGGGGGTCGCTTCCTGTCACTATTGGGGAGGGGTGATAAATATATAAACACCCTCCACTTTTTACCATATTTTGCCATGATTAATACTCGGTGAGTTGTGGTGGACTGACATCATTTTGCGATTGAAATTCTTAATTTCCTCAAAAAACAAATCTTCTCAATGGATATAACAACCTCTAAAAACACCCTATCCCACAGCATTTCAAAGTTTCAATTGAAAAATAAAAATTATACGTTTTGCCCCAAGAGATCGTGTGAAAATAGCATAACATTTAAGGGGGGACATGCCTCCAGTCCACCGGCCGCCCACACACACACACATACACACTTTCTGGAATGGATTGTCACCATGCATTTTCTCTCTACCATACTTTCTTGCCATAACGGTCACTGACCTTAAGGCGAGCCTGAGCGCGCGTTGCATTGTCCATCCATGTTTGTTCCTCCAAGCCATCAATGAATTCACTTTTTATCTCTCTAAACATTTCCGCTGCCTATAAAGATGTATCAAATGAAGTTACAGTAAAACGGTGTTACACACATTATTATTAGATCTAATCAAGAGCAGCTACGAAAAATACTACTGTCAATCCCTCTTGCAGGAATTCGAATCGACCTGCTGCCATAGTAAGATGATGCCAATGTACCAGATATATGGGTAAATATCAGGATTTCGGGCATCTCATTCGATAGAATTAAATCGCTTTGATAATTAGAGGGTATGGTAATTACTGGAAAGACCACGCTCAATACGGTGGAAATGAAGGCAAGTTATTAAGAGCAACGTTTCGCGGGCAGTAAAGCTGCCCGTCTTCAGGCTAATAAACAACAAAAATTACTGCAAAATATTTTAGAACGAAAATTAAATTTATCTAATCTTTATGGTCAATAGTATTATTTTCGTAAATGTAATGTTTTGCCTTCAATGTATCCATAAATTATTCTGTTTGAATAATGTTCTTTTGTCACTGACTTAGCAAATAATGCTTAGCAAATAACCATCTCGTCGCTTCGCGACTCGGACTCTAGAGATACGGACTTGATCCAAGTCTACGTTTTGGAGTAGAACACCATCTTCAGATTTAAAAAAGGACACGATACATGTATAAAATATGCTTGATTTATATCGCACCATTTTCTGAACCTGAAGATTGAGTTATACCCCACTTTGTCATTATTCTGCCCATTCCCAAAAAAAACGGATATAAATATATTGGCCAGACATTTGTCGCTCAAAGGAAATTTAATTAATTGCAGGCCTGCATGTATAAAATATGCTTGATTCTATCCCACTATTTTCTGAACGTGAAAATTGAGTTAGGAAAAGTCCCTTTTTCCTAAATTTGTAGAAAACAAACCAGCGAAGAATAACAAATAGATAAACGGAAAGTAAGTTTTAGGCTTTATCTTTTGTTTTTTTGTGCGTTTTTCCTTCTTTTATTTCAATTACAAGTTTAGTTAGCATAAATTTTAGAGCAAATTTGGAAGCTCAAAATGTAGGAAATTAATGGCACTTCCGGGCTTCAAATTTCAAAAATTTTCTGAGAGAGTATGCACCCACACACGTGGCCTTTGGCCATTGCTATTCCCTTCTAATAAGTAATGATAAATTATGGTTAATTTTTTTTTAACTTTTTGTGCTTTTTTCCCTTCTTTTATTTCAATATAGTTAGCATAAATTTTAGAGCAAATTTGGATGCTCAAAATGCAAGAAATGACATTTCCGACGTTTAAATTTCAAAAATTTTCTGTGAGAGTATGCCCCCACACACGTGGCCTTCGGCCATCGCTATTTCCCTGTAATAAGCACTGATCTGAAATAAGACTGGATAACGCATCTATAGTATACAAAAGTGAAGCCGGAAGTCACCGGCCGTCACCCGATTCTGGGGCCCCACTTTTGTATAGGTTTGTATTACAGACGGTAGTTTTTCGCGTTTTTTTGCCTTGGCTACGTTTCCGACCGGGCCAATTTTACAATCACAAAGATAGAAGCATACAAGAAGAATTTTGAGCAAAAAATTTGGAGTATTATGGCTTTATAACGCCGCGAAACGGGATTTACAACTCTGAAGGAGTGGAGAGCCTCAGACTTCGTTTATCAACACGAGCTCGTTTTGCTACTTTCATACAAAATCAACTCAAAATATACAGGAATTACTGTTACTGGACGAATATTCTCAGGAAATTTGAAGCCATGAAGCAGCTACATTGTGAACAAAAGCGTACTGAGGTCTAAATAGTTTTAAAATACCTTGAGGCTACTTTTATAATATTTATATGAATTTATAAGGAACAGTTTTAAATATCAATTTTGTCAAGAGCATTCCTCGGCGCCTTGTCGAGAAGTTTTATATGTTTTAAAGTAGGAAGACAAGTGACAATCAAATATTTTTAATCCAAATTAAGCCTGTTCTAAACGTCGCATTTTGCATGCGCCGAATGATGAGGCATTTCAGCTGATTATCTAATGTTTTAAATGCATTCGGCACATGTAAGATACGACGTTTAGAACAGGCCTTATAAACAATGACTCAATATAATGTTATTTAATTCATATAATTATAAAAGTAGCCTCAAGGTATTTTAAAACTAACCTCTGTACGCTTTCGTTCACGATGTAGCTGCTTCATTTCTTCAAATTTCCTGAGAATATTCGTCCAGTAACAGTAATTCTTGTATATTTTGAGTTGATTTTGTATGAAAGTAGCAAAACGAGCTCGTGTTGATAAACAAAGTCTGAGGCTCTCCACTCCTTCGGAGTTGTAAATCACGTTTCGCGGCGTTATAAAGCCATAATACTCCAAATTTTTTGCTCAAAATTCTTCTTATATGCTTCTATCTTTGTGATTGTAAAATTGGCCCGGTCGGAAACGTAGCCAAGGCAAAAAACGCGAAAAACTACCGTCTGTAATACAAATCTATACAAAAGTGGGGCCCCAGAATCGGGTGGCGGCCGGTGACTTCCGGCTTAACTTTTGCATACTATAGATGCGTTATCCAGTCTTATTTCAGATCAGTGGTAATAAGTAATAATAAGTTAGGGTTAAACGTTTTGTGCTTTTTTTTCCTTCTTTTATTTCAAATACAAGTATAGTTAGCATAAATTTTAGAACAAATTTGGATGCTCAGAATGCATGAAATTGGATTTCCGGGCTTCAAATTCAAAAATTTTCTGGGCGGAGTATGCCCCAGACCCCCATGTTCATGCATGGTATGCAATCTCGTTCCCCGAGCCTGCGATCCTTGGGAAGGAAACGAAGGCTCTGGGATAATCCATGTCAGAAATGAATATGATTGGTAGCTGGTATACAATGGAATGTTGCAATTTTGCAAAAATTAATTTTTAACCGTATATTTTTATATACAACATGGCGGCCGTTTAGGAGTGTACGAATATTGTTTTGGTGTTTCAGAGCTGTGCTATATACTAATACTACAAAGGAAATGCAGAGAAACGTATACTTAATGCGTATAATATCACAACAGTTAAATGGAGCGTGAAAACTTTACTCATATTTGTGTTGTACAGGTTTTCTGTAGTTTTAATCTATACATAGTATACAGTACTGTCAGTACACTGTACTATTTGACTATAATATCAAATATGTGCTATATTTTGCAAATACTATTTGTGTCAGAAATGGTTAATAACTTTTATTAATTTGTCTTTGTGTTATTTAATTGCGAAGAACTAGCTAATGACTAGTTTCAATAAATCCAATCTTGGGATTTATATTTTATTATTTAATGTATATACTGTACTGTAAACTTTTCAAGTGCAGGAGTATGTAATACTCATTTTAACTTGTAGCATGTAACCTTTCCCTATATGGGTACATGCATATGAATCTTTTGTTGTTATAATTTATTTATAGAAGTGTTCAAAAAACCTTTATTCTCTAAATAAACCACAATTTCGCAGGCAGTGATATTAACTTGTATTCCAGTCTGCCTACACCTAATACATACAATGAATTCTGGGGTTTCATTAGGCATTTTGCACGTTCTGACGTGGGGTCAACCTAAAATGTATTGATGCTTATGCTGTACTGGAGTGAGCAAATGATATGAAATTGCATGTATTTGCCACCAAACACAAGCCCAACACATACAGTGAAAAATTAATTCACTCTGATGACTGTGTCTCGATTTAGAGTTGACCCCCGTCAAATTTATGACGTCATATGAAAAACAATAATATACAGTATAATATTACAGCTAACTGTAGCAGAAAGTATTTAATAATTTAAATTTATTGAGTAGTACAATATGCCAAATTGGCAATCCCTTTATTAATCTTGTCCACACAGTAATTCTCAGAAGCCCTGCACTCTGTACGAGGTTGTATTAATTGGATTCTGTCCAAGAAAACATCATAAACCTTTTCATCCAAGTATGAATTCCAGATTGGGAAACCATATAAATATTTTTAATAAATTCATATACTTTTTTAAAGAAATGTTCTATTCACAAAAATATTAAATGATAGTGATCAGCCACTAATACCAGAAATGATTTTCATCAGCTTCCCCCTGTTATGACCCCCTGCAGGGAACCACCTAGGGTGCAGGTATAAATTTGTGATGAATGATGAAAAATTGCCCAATGTAAATGCCAAGCCATAGAAATATTTTTATTACCATGGTCATGACAACTACCCTGTCAGTTTGATTGCAATATCAAAACTTGTTATTTACACTATAAAACAACACATACCTACTCTGAGAAGGGGCAACAAAAACTCAGTTTTTCCATTCCTATCCAATTCAAATCATGCTGGCCACGAAAACAATTTTCTGATTGCCGATACAATAAATTGCCAAATGCCTGACAATTTGGGCCAGCGACGCCCCTGAATGCTACAATGATAGCAACCTCTATTGCTATTACATCTCCAACCTTGAATGTCCTATTTAGTACAGTAGTTAATTAATTAATGGCAGTAATCAACATGAAGTCAAGTACATTTCTGGCCATTGGTGAGAAATATTGTCCAGAAGTACAGTGAAATAACAAAAAAGGTGCACTAAGAGCATTGATCTAATGAGATAATTAGCAATGATCTAATGAGATAATTAATAACCAAAGATAGCTGGTAGACATGCAGATGGACTGGTTAACCCATTCAAATACCAATATCAAAGTCCAATACTTTCCCCTTGACGAGAAAAAATTCTGGCATTAAACAGCTTAAAATAACAAAGTAGGGCAAACTGAGGCACATTGCAGCTTAACTTGCTCCAACTCTCATTACAAACTGTAAATCTTTAATAGTAAAATTCCTATCCAGACACAAAATTTGGTTACAATTCAATAATTTGAATAGTGCTGTTGCATCCCTAACCTACTAAACTGCTTGCAAATATTAAAGGAAAGCTATAAGGGCAGTTAAAAAATATAACAAGGATTTGGTTTATAAATTGTTAATTTCTAGAGATGATAACACAATACAAATATGGAATTCACTATATTCATATTTTTAATGATATGTTTTATAAGTCTAAATTCCTTTTAATATTCCTTTGATATACAAATCTTCTGAAAACTTTAATATTATCAAGGTTTATAAACGACTTAATATTAGAATTGAGACTCTTCAGGTATTTTAATACTACAGTAGCAATTAATACACAGTACATTGTAACTGTTTTTGTTCTTGAAAATTGCCCTTTCCACGCGCTCTTTCAACCATTAGAAACATAATAGCGTTAAACGGCTAAATTATGCTGGAGGAATCACAAATGCTCTACATTTAAAGCTTTTTCAAACTGACACAGAGGTGAATGGACAAGATTACAATTAATTGTGACATTTTTCTTCGACAACAGCACTCTTCGCGACTCCTGCCGGCTCTATACTGACCCTGTTTCACACGCAATATTTTCCTTATTCAGCCGCTAACACACCTTTTGTATCCCACTATGAAGAACATCAACATTTCCACCAAAACCCCGAAAAAATAATCATTTTATAGACGAAACAATAAAATATTTCAAACAATTTGTTTTGCTTTTGGCAACGCATGCGCAGTTTGGTCGACATACAGTTTTCGGTATGTCTGAGATGGATTATCCCAGAGCCTTCGTTTCCTTCCCAAGGATCGCAGGCTCGGGGAACGAGATTGGCATGGTATGTCGGCCACACACAAGGCCTTCCGCCATTGCTATACCCTCTAATATATTATCTCACAGAAAGGTCCTTTTTCAAAAAATCCACCCGCGGGAAAATTCCTTAAAAAAGGCCCTGATTACTTGCAGGCGTGCAAAAATTCATATACAATGTACTCCTACTACAATTATAAACAGATGGATTCCACCGACATACAATAAATAGAGAATAATACATGGGTGCTTGGAAATACCAGATTTATTTCGAGTGTTGAACATGATATCTCAAGAGTGAGCGCAGCGAACGAGTGAGATATCATGTTCAACACGAGAAATAAATCTGGTATTTCCAAGCACCCATGTATTTTTCTGTTTATTATATAAAGGACAACCTTTGAAAAGCGATAATTTCTACAGAAAAGCGATAATTGAAAAGCGATAATTTTCACATGTGAGATTATCATGAATAATCTCACATGTGAGATTATCACTGTTATCAGTGCTCGAAATCTCTATAAAGCACTATACTTTATATAATAAAATATAATCTTACCGCTTTAATCCTGGCATCTTCTGACAAGTTTTCATTCACAAACAGTAGTGCTGTAGCATATGCAAAATAACTGTCGGTCAAACGAGTACATGTCTTCGATCTGGAAGCAGTTCCTTTTACATTTGAAAAACGTTGAATATATTTCTCTTGTGCCTCTCTAAATGGCTCAGGTAAAGCATTGATCAAGTCTCGAATAACATTCCAAATTATTTCGTTCGCTAATAAACTAAAATGGAAGGGGGAAAATAATACAGTGTGGTATACGACACTAGGAGAGGGTTGGCAGGGGATGGGGGACTACCATTCTCTTGTACTGTAGTGTCATCACTTTTACAGATGCGATTGGTATATCCGATTAACCCAATCAGATGCCAGTGAGAGGCAGTGGTAGCGGTAGTCAAATATGAACCTTGCCTTGCAACGCCAAATCTTTTCTTTCAAAAGTCAAAACATTTCGACAACAAAGCACGTCGAGTATACGAGTATTGAATGGTAATTGCTTACCTCTTGGGTTTGTCTACAAGCCAGGAAACAATGTTCTTGACAGCATCAGGAAGTAGTATCATCAATTTTTGGTCAGATGCCGGAAGTGATTTATTTGTGCCATGAAGTACTTGCTCAAAATACATTGTCCAATTAAACTGAAAAAGTTGGAAATGGTACAGTAAGGTACGCACGTAAGCTTGGTATATGATTATGTGGGGGTAAAGTATGTTATGGAATGATATATATATATATATATATATATATATATATATATATATATATATATATATATATATATATATATATATAGCTTAAAGGTAGGTTACAGTCCCTTCTGCGCATGCGCGGGCTTTGTTTACGTTTTTTGTTTTGACCCACATTAATTATATAAGATGAAGTATATGACGAGTCCAAACTAACATTCCACATAATTTGTGACCGAGGAGTGCAATGTTTAACAATACTTCGCTTCATTTCTTGTATATTTCTGCACTGGAAATTTTTGTACACAAGAACACAATCTTATACTGTAACTGTTTAACTGTAAACATCGTGAATAAAGTTATAAAGAGGCCGCTTTGAACCTTGTGTGACTTGCTATATCAACAGCTGGGGCGGCGAATCGAAATCCCGAAGGTGTGCGTTCGAATAATTTGTGTTTACATTTGGAGTTTGTGTCTCATCATGAAAATAGTTAATGCGGTATCAATCCATCGAAACATGTTGCCAGTGTTGTTGTTGTCATTATGACAGAAGCGCTTGGGGAAAGCTTTTCGCTTGACGAAATTCGAAACAAGTGTGATTGAGAATGTGGCTGCAGTTCCTGTCTTCGTAGCAAAGCCAAGGGCGAAAATTTTGACCGTGCAAAAGCTGGATAAACAGCTTTTGTTCAAGCTCGTGCGCGCTATGGAGATGATTTTGTTATAAACAACAGAAGAGTTCAATAGATTGACAGTGACGAGAGTACGAAACGCTAAGATTATATTCAACTATTTGTGTTATAAAAATGTATGTTTTGAAATTATGAACTGGAAGTATGAATTCGTTGATATTACTATCATATTGACACTAAATGATGATATTCTTGTGACACTGAATGATCTAATAGTAATATTAACTTCAACAATTCTGGTCAATCTAGTGATCACGTTAGTTCATCATGTCTCTTCAAGACAGAGGACAATTGCTAAATATATGCTTGTTTCGCTGTATATCAGAGCTCATCAGAATGCTCAGGAAACACTGATGAAATTTTTATTTACATCAACGAATCACTCTTTCTTTTTCTTAACAGATTTATTGGGTTATATGATAATACAAATAATTTATAAACAATTATTATTAAAACACATATATCCAAGGGATAGGCATGAATATGACTCAAGGGCTTGTGCCCCCCCGGAAAGTACTGAATATATTGACACAAGATCAGGCAATCATAGTACAATTTGAACTGGCTTGTGTTTCAGATTGCTTTGTGTAGGAGGCAATCCATCTAGGAAAGAAAGCACGGATTTCAAACCCCCAGATCCCACCTTGGACAATACATGTAGTGACTACATGATCATTATAGAACTTGGAAATTAGGTTAAATTACATGTATATATATATAATTTATATATATATATATATATATATATATAAATTATATAATGAGGTATAATTTACATGTATATACATATATATAAATTGTGCACAAATTATCTAACTAATAGCTATGTGTAAAGCTATGCTGTAAAGCTGCTTTATTTCTCTCAATGATATTTTCAGTGTTCTGGATCATTTTCATTACTTTGTGAAGAGTTTATTTTCTTTGATTTATATACATTTTTAGATTTGATTTGTCTTCATGCGATAAAATAAGAACCTGAAATGCTAGCCTAAACAAATTCTTATTTAGAGTGTCTAAATATTATAAAAACATTTAGCCTGACCATAACTATGGCCTGACAGGTTATTAAAATGTAGGTTCTTATATGCAAGCTTTTAGTCACAATTAGGGTGATAAAATACACTAGTAATTATTAATTGAGTTTGTTTACATCATATAAGTTTCTGTGATCAAAATGTTTTATAAACTAAATGTCTTAGGCAGTGACTTTTTAACAGCTATCAGCACCAAACAATTCTTACTTTTGCTGAATTAACGTCGGCAAAAATTTGCCGGCCTGGGAGGTTGATAGGTCGGCATTTAGGTCGGCATTTGACAATGCCGACCTCGTTTTCGAGGGCTGTAAGCTGCTTTGATTAAAATATACTTTGATCAGAGAAACTTTTTATGTGTTTCTATTAAGTGAGCACAGGTTGTCCATGAGAAAACAGTCAAGTAGATTAATTTATATCATTTATCAATCTGACAATAAACACTATATAAACAGCCATCCAAGACATGTTGACTCCAAATTGCTCATTAACATTTTTTCATTGACAACTCCTACTCACGAGTATCATATCTTTAGGCCTTAATTATATGGGTTTCAGTTTGTAAACAAAATAGATAAAACAGTTCGTATGTAACAATAGTGTATAATTAAAATTTAAAATAGTAAATAAAGAGAATTTTATAGTCATTAAAACCTCGATTGATGGGCTTCAACAAGCGATTTAACTGAAGGATCCACAGTGAAGGGAGTGAATAGCAGCTATGTTGGGTGAAATGTCTAATCCTTCTTGGATTCTTTTCCTGAAAACCTTTAGTAGAAGCTTGAGGATGTAGGTATATCATGGGGAAACGCAGACAGAAATGGCACGCTCTCCATCGAGGAAAACAATAAAATAGATACACTTTGATACACTTTGGAAGCATCCCTGCTAGCGTGGTATTCTTTCCTACTCGTCATGAAGCCTCAAAAACTCGTTATTTGAAGAATTTTCGCTCAAAAAGCTCAATATATTTTGGAAACTTCTAGCTGTGTCACTCCTTCGCTTGCGAAAAAAACAACGCGCGTGTTATTGCCAGAAATGAGACTGGACCGAGTATAAACCGAGATGCCCAACTTCCGGTGGAGTCCCCTGGCAAAAACAATCACAGACATGCGCAGAAGGGACTGTAACCTACCTTTAACTATAACGTAACAATGTAACATATGAAAATATTTAAGAAGTAGACTATAAGAAGATACTATTTACAGGATGGAAAGTTTAACTAATGACTACCAGCATTCCCGGCTTCAAGTTGTTTAAGTCTTTCCTCAAAACATGAAAAAATAAATTTCGATAATTTCAGGATGGTGTTACTAGCAGTTGACTTCATTATGTCAACTGATAAAGTTGGTTCGTTTAAGTTTGTCTCAGTAGTAGTGAGATCGTTTTTTAGACTGTTTATAAAGTTTACTCGAGTGTCACCGTAAGCCTCGCAAGTGAGGAGGAGGTGAGATTAATTTTCGACTTCTCCCTAGCCTGCGTGCAGGCCCAAGGGAACTGATAGTGGGCCTGCAACCATCACCCCATGTTTTCGATTTTTGCCGGCCGAACCGCCGGCTAAATTCCCATTGGCTAGCTGAGGCGATCGGTAATTAATTAATCTAGCGTGCAGGCCCAAGGGAACGGTGATTCATCACAAAGGCATAGACAAAGGCTCTCGATAAGCTTAAAATTTGAAAATTGATCACTTTTTTCGATTACAAATGGAACAAGAACAGACTGTTTATTGTTTACTTGAAGGAAGACATGTTTTTGCCGTTATGCCAATGGGGATTGCTTGTCGTGAGGTGTTGGAATAGCAAATCACGACTGGGGTAAACTATAGTAACCTTTACTTGAGTTTCATTAATTTCAAACAGACTTCAGTTGATACGTTATGTGTTCTCACTTCCTCAAGAAAATTATTTTTTGGTTGATGTTGAGATGCAGTTGCATGTAAGGACTGTAAGCCTATTCGAAACACTTTGCGATTTACAAGGCTTCGCTGAGAGAGCGAAACAGAAGGCGGTATTAAATTGCCGTTTGAAACGAAACGATCTGGACTCGGAACGCTCTCTTCTTTTGTAGAGTTCTTTACCAAATGAAATGAAATAAATTTCGTACTTTCCGCCGCCAACAAGAATTGCACACACGATCTGATAAGTGAGACAATTTATTTATAACAATGCCAATGGCGACAGCGAAGCACACATAATATAAATCCTAATGTGGTCGCACGACTTCCCTCATGATTTGAAGTTTGAGACTGGTTTTCTGTTTAAATTCGTCCTAATTTGCCTGTTCCGATTTTAGTTGAAAATGAGCACTTGCAAATTTGGCAATTACTGACTGCGTTGCTTGCTTTTTTGGAGTTAAAACGCAGCCATTTACACATTGTTTATTAGCCCGCGTGCAGGCCCAAGGGAGCAGGCTGAAGGGAACTTGATAATGGGCCTGCAAGCAAGGCTATAATACTTGGCATTACCGGTACCTGAGAAGACCCTCATGAGAAGACCCCAAATGCACGAGAGCGCCCCTACTATATATGGTATAGATGGCCTTATATGTATATACAGTATGTAATATGAACTGTGTAGAATCAACCACAACATACGCACTACAGACGACTCTCAAATATATATACAATATACTATTTTGAATTATTATTTACTGAGTTGTTGACTTTTTCACTTCTCAATTATAAACTTAGAGCACAGATTGACCATGGCATTATGTTAATTTAACACGAGCAGCCTGTGGATATTGTGGCAGCGTTATATGCCAGCGTAAATTTCACAAAACGCGCGTGACGGCGCGTCAACAGCAGGGGCGGATCCAGACCGATGCCAACGATGCGAATGCATCGGTCAAAATTGAGAAATCATGTTGCTTGAAATAATATGTCGTCAATACTTAGTCAAGCACTCAGTAATAGAATATCTTTGAATCTCTCCAGCTATCAAACCGCAACTATTTGCTTAAACTTGACTCCATGTGACTGTCCATGTCGGGAATACACTATTTAGGATGAAATCCAATTTATATTGTCTCAATAACAGTCGAAATTGTCAAAATAAGTCCAATATGCGACGTGCGATCGCAAAAGTATTTTCTGTTATTTACTTTTTATTTTGCGACACTTAAGCGTGAATAATTTCGCGACAAAATATATTATTTTTTACCGCATCCTTTGACGTCACAGTAGAAAGCTGATGCATCACCTACGTCACGGTAGATTTTGTTTGCATCGATTTTCAGCCATTTTGCATCAGTGAATGCATCGGTCCCGAGTCCTTTTCCGCGTAAAATCTACTGTGACATCATCAAATCTATTGTTTTAGAGCCCTACGTCACGGTAGATTAGTCCGCTGAGCGATGCATCGCATGCAGATTGCGGGCGCTCGCATCAGTTCACTGATGCAAATTTCAAAATCAAAATCTACTGTGACGTAACGAGGCATTCGATTCAAGTCATGGCGGCAAGGATATGCAAACACTATATGCAAATGAACAAAATTCAACAAATAATGCGAAGAAATATCCCTCGAATATGATGGAGAGCAATTAAGTTACAGTCGAATTAATTACCGAGGTTTGGAATGAATTTGATCTTTCAACTGAGCAGTGAGCACAAGAATTGAAGCATATTTATACTGTGAGAATGTGAGATGCCCACTACGGCCACTAGGGCTCTAAAGTAAGTGGAATTTATGTATATTTTACATTGTAGTACATTGTTAATTGTTCAGTTCAAGAAGTGCATAAAGTGGAAAATTGGCTCCACAGTTAATGTAGATTTGTATGTATTTATAACATAATAATTAAAGTTTGTGTCTATTTGATACTGCTGTTCATACCAGCCCCATTACCAAACTTGACAGCTTGCTTTACTGAGGCAAATTTCATCTCTGTTTACATGGGATTTATATAACCTGTGCCCATGCAGACCTTCATTTTTCTCACAGCTGGCGGGCAAAGAAAAATGAAGACCTGATAAAGTCACATGTTATTAAATGTTTGTGTCCTACAACTGCCTTTATGGTTGTAACTCTGATTGCCGGCTACTTCTAGCATGAGTATTCATGCCATATTTAATGTCTTTTTTTGATATTTTGGTTAGTGCTATATATAATTAAATAATGATAGATTAAATAGTGACTGTAACTATATTTAGCTTGTTGTTAAATTATGTGAAATAGTTTGACATTGCGCCTGGCACATTTTGATTGGATACTGGTACTAATAATAAAACTTTGGTGTGGGTCAAGACTTGCATCAGGCTTTGTACAGTATGTAATTACAATGCATAATAATATTGCAGGTTAATTAACCCATTGTGTCGCATTGCACCCTGATGCACCCCACTTTAGTATTTTACTCTGTCTAACGCCAGACGATTTTACTCGTCAAGGGGAGAGCGCTGGCGCTTAATGGGTTAATGAGCTGGATTTCTAATAGTGATGCAATATTGGTTAGAAAACATTACATTTCATTTTATATGGAAATGAGCTGGCGTGCCTCATGACAAGAGTATAATTGCTTTGCATTGCCTGAGTTATTGGGCAATTACTGTACACTGGATATTTTGCAAACAAAGATCATTACCTGGGCGTGCTCGCCTACCATAGTTTGGTACATATGCATTGTCGGTGCAAATATAATTTGATATAAGCTGTATATGTCATTCTGTTGACAAATTTTAATCTTAGAATGATAAAATGATGGACGTTATAAATACTGTATATAACTGCATGTAACTGGTGTATATAGGTTATAATTATGAAATTTCCTCACAAAAGTGGTATAGATTTAATTAAATTATATATATTTGTAGTGCTTAATTCTCCCAATACTATGTTTTGGATAGCCAGCATGGCTCTCTGAGGATTACCATTGATAAGTGTACGGATATATTTGACGAAGATGTGCATTTATATAGTAACACAGAGAAAATATTGATCAATACTACTGCGCAGCCTTTCTACATTGACATCATCTTAAAAGAGTACTATATTAATATATTAGTTGAAAGGCAGGCAAAAGGGGACTGATAGAAGACATCTGATGATTCAATTATGTCATCATATATTGTTTATCATTGTACAGTTTGGTAGGTTCATTTGACAAACAATTTTCAACTAAGATAGTTCATTAAATCAATTTAGACACAGTATCACTATATATATATATCTATTGATTTAAAGTTTGGGGTCATGTGTACCTATAGTTATACTTATAGAATTTTAAAACTCAGTGCTTGTTGTGTGTTAGTTTTACTGGTTTCCTGGTGACAGGGCAATATTCTCAGTAATTTAGAGTGTGGGCTAGTCACCATGCAAATATGCAATTCACATCAAAGGCATCTATTGCTAGGGGTGAATAAAGTTGACGTACTGATGCCAACAACACTGTCCATGCAGAGTAAGGTTAGCAGCATAAGACAGAGTTGTATATAAATAAGTTTACCAACTAGAGCACAAAATACCTTTATGCACCATTCTAATGCTAAAAAATTTACTCATGGAACATTGCAAATTAGTGGAAATGAATAAGCCTCAGGGAAGGTGGTTAAGAAACCTAATAACATTGTCTTTTAAGTCCAACATTGCAACTAGTGGATCACACTGTATACACCTTTGTTACACGTATGTGTGTATTTGCGTTGTCGTGATTTTTTGCCGAAATGTTTTTCAATAGAAAAGTTAAGGCTACAAGAAGCACAGTAG